CTTAGTTATGCTTACGTATTCCTCTGACAACGTACAATGTACTGTGGTGCGGTATATTATTCCATTCTTGCCTGATTACTCAAGCTTGTTGCTAGCAAATATCTACATCGTTTTTACATGTGCCTACAATGGCCTGCATTCGTTTCTCGACAGTTTCACCACTAATGCCGCGGAACATTTGGACAGCTGCCTGTTTACTGTAGCTGGCGATTTCAATAAGCACAGCACTGTGCCAATTACATCGCTGGGTCTGTCCGGCTGATATCCCAACGCGCTTGACAGCTCAACTTGACCTTGTGTTTACGAACCTTTCAGCTGTGTTCGTGATCAAACCGCGCTCCTCTTGCAGGCTCTAACCTTGCCAATAACTTACTCCACTTGAAACATCTCTGTAACTGTTCAAAACAACTAAAGCGTCCTGCTGGGTTCCGTTCATCGATATTACTTTTAAATTTTCACTTGACTGCGCTTAAACCCAGTCAAATCTTATGTGTCAAGCATGCAACTGATACGGTGCCAATTTCAGTCATCAAAAATAAACCCAGTTTGTCTAAAATTCAAGACGCAGCAAACGGAGCCGGACTGTCGACAAAAAAACAAAACAACGGCCTAATGTTAAACAGCTTGAAGGGTGCCCAGCTGATCTTTCAAATGACGAACATCGGGATACACAAGTTATTTGTAGCCCACCACCCTGTGACGGTGGAGAACGAGCCTTTTCCACCCTTCCCATCGAGTAACACTGTGAGATACATGTAAATCTTGCTGAACGATAAGTTGAACAGGATTGATAAAGCACTCTCGGTAATTTTGAAAGTACCCAGGGGATCGTGTTATCTCCTTTGACTGATTAGGCTACCTTGATCTGTTCATCTAGAGTTAGTCAGCCTCTATCCTAGGGTGCCTGGCACCATCCTTTACCTACACCGGCCCAGTGATTTTTGCCAGCTTACTGAGTAAGCTACAGGCAACTCAGAAGAGCGATGATGATCTTCGGCATCAGCAGAATCGGCGTCCAGGAAATAAATAATCGATCCTAACCACATGTTGCACGTGCATGAAACCAACTTCCAAGCATCCAGGAACTCCGAATCTTCACAGAGCTATCCCACCGCACGGAGCTCCATGGGCGGTCAATCTTACCGTTCCATGCCAAGGTTCTTAAGCAGCCGGATGAAGAAGGCTGCGTGTAAATTGCTTAAGCACGAGGAATGAGCGCGGCAAATATGTTGCTACGTGTTTACATTTTTCAGTGTTTTTCTTCACCATGCCATTTCTGTTCGCATTGATATCTTACCCTTCCGTGCTGAAAGCAACTGTGGTCGTTCAAGCAAACAAATTTGACAGATTGTCTCAAGAAGAACCGCTCGACGTCCATGTTTAGCACGGTGTGAAGACGACTTTGCCGCCAAGGAGTGATCATCTATTTATCAGCCTCGTGGTGATAATACCAATCAATACGGTTCGATGCCCATAAGATTCGCAGTAGTTCATACGGGCGACGAAGTTTCGCGTCCAGTGGGTATGCACAGGACAGCGACCCTGGTCCAATATTTCAGTTCCAACAATTTTTGCTGAT